AGCCCACGCGTTCGCGGTGCACTTCCTGATAACCTTACGTGATCGCGTCTTCATTTTCGCTAACGCGAAGAGCAATTTTAGCTGACCCCTCAGATGACCTACGCGATCGCGAGATCTCCCTCACGAACGCGATGAAGAAAAATGTCTGCAATAACACCAGAAAATCTGCCAACTCCCTAAGTCCAAAAATGACCTGTTGAGCATCCGAAACATGCCCGAGGCCCCCGGGACTTCAACCAAACATACCAGCCAATTCTAAAACACCATACGAACTTAGTCGAGCCTTTAAATCACGTCTAACAACATCAAAAATACGGATTATGCATGGATTCAAGCCTAATGAACTTTGAAATTTCTAAATTCTACAAACGACGTCGATACATATCAAATCTCATTCGAATTACCTCAAATTTTGCACACAAGTCATATTCAACACTACGGACCTACTCCAATATCTGGAATCGGAATACGACCCCGATATCAAAATTTTCACTACCGGTCCAAATCTTTAAAAATTCAACTTTCGCCATTTCAAGCCTAAATAAGCTACACACCTCCAAAACACAATCCAGACACGCTTCTAAGTCCAAAATCACCCAACGGAGCTAACAGAACCGACAAAACTCCATTTCGGAGTCGTCTTCACACAGTTCCAACTACAGTTAAAATTCTAAGACTTAAGCTATCATTTAGGGACTAAGTGTCCCAAATCACTCCAAAAACCAAAACGAAACCTCCCGGCAAGTCACAATAGCAGAAATAGATATGGGAGAAGCAGTTAATAGGAGATCAGAGCTATAACTCTAAAAACGACTAGCCGGGTCGTTATACGAACATAGGCTAGATAAGCCAAACAACCCTTCTCGACTATATGTCAAACTTTTAGAAAAGAAATAACATGATTAGATGCGCTGACAGACGAACTTTTCCACTCCAACTTAGGCAAATTCCGGCGTTGCCAAAGTAACAGTCTTAGCATGGCAATTTACGACGACATGATACGGGGATAGCTAGTCCATGCCCAGGATAATCTCGAAGTCGGTCATATCAAGCAGTAGAAGATCTGCTCTAGTCTCATAACCACAGAATGTAACAACACATGACCGATAGATCTGATCCACAACAACAGAATCGCCCACAGGAGTGGACACATAAACAAGAGTGCTCAAGGACTCTCGAGAAACACCCAGGAAATAAGCAAATAGAGAGGACACATATGAATACATAGATCCTGGATCAAATAAAACGGAGGCATCTTTGCCGCGAACAAAAATAATATCTGTAATCACTGCATCTGAGGCCTCTACATCTGGTTTGGCAGGAAAAGCATAGAACCGGGCTGGAGCACCAACTGGCTGGCGTCCACCTCTAGGACGGCCCCTACCTACCTGCCCCCCACCTCTGGGTGGTCGGACGACTGGTGGAGTAACTGGTGCGGTAATCATAGGCTGCTGACCCTGCTGCACTGATTTACCCCGTAGCCTGGGGCAGAATCTCTGCATGTGACTGGAATCCCCGTACTCGTAACAACTTCTCGGTGCGATGAGATGCTGATTAGAAGTCTGGCCCTGATGACCTGAATACCCACTGGAAGAACCCTGAATAGTTGGTGGGCGATAAGAACTTTCTGGCATAGCACTGAAATAAGGTCGAATTGGGGCACCCCAAGGAGGCGGTGGTACTGGATATGGGGGCCTGCTGGACTGCCCTCTCACGAACTGACCTCTACCTCTAGACAGAACACCTTTGAACTCTCCAGAATATCTAAATCCCTTATCCCTCATAACCTGCTCTCGGCTGCGCTGATGCACACTCTCAATCCTTCGGGCTATCTCCACAACCAACTCATAAGAAGTCCCCATCTCAACCTCTCAGGCCATAGTGGCCTGAATGCCAGTATGTAAACTCGCAACAAACCTCCGCTCCCTCTTCGCCTCAGTAGAGAGTATCATAAGTGCATGGCGAGATAATTCAGAGAATCTCGCCTCATAATCGGTCACTGACATCTGACCCTACTGGAGCTGCTCAAACTGAAACCACAACTCTTCCCTCTGGGAGGGTGGAATATACCTATCCAGGAAAATACGGGTGAACCTGTCCCATGTCATGGGAGGAGAATCTGCTGGTCTGCCAAGAAGATAAGACTTCCACTATGTACGGGCTCTGCCCTCCAGTTGAAAAGTAGAAAAGTCTACCCCATGAGACTCCAATATCCTCGTGTTGTGCAGTCTGTCCCTGCACCGATCAATGAAATCCTGGGGATCCTCATGTCGCTCACCCCCAAAGATAGGAGGATGTAGTCTAGTCTATCGGTCCAATAGCTTATGCGGCTCGGCGGCCGTAGCTGGCCTGGGCTCAGGTGTAGCTGCTGCCACTGGCTGGACTCCACCCACGGGTAGTGCACCCTAGGTTTGATATACAATAGCTGCCTGCCCATGAGCCTGTGCGGTAAGGATTTGTGCTCTCCCGCCCGCCTGAGATGTGGCTGGGTCTGCCAGAAATAAACCGGCCTGAGTCATAGTGTCCATGAACCGCATCATTCGGCCTATGACCTCCTGGAATGCCGGTGCAGACATGAAATCCACCAGAGCTGGCTCTGCTACGGGCACATCGCCCTGTTCCTCAATAATAAGATCCTCTGATGGACCCACTGGTGGTATAACTGGAACAACTCTGGGACATCCTCGTCCCCTACCACGGGCTGGAGCCCTCCCTCAGCCTCTAACAACAGGGGGAGTAGCTCTTCCCTGGTCTGGAACTTCATTAGAGCACGTTCTCACTATTTGTGAGAGAATAAGAGAAAGATATTTAGTACTACATTATTTGCACGATGGGAGATGAAGAAAGGTAGTTTTTCTAACACCCTATAGCCTCTCGAAGATAAGTACAGGCATCTCCATACCGATCCGCAAGACTCTATTAGGCCTGCTTATAACTTGTGAGACCTACGTGAACCTAGTGATCTGATACCATGTTGTCACGACCCAAACTCACCTATAGGTCGTGATGGCGCCCAACATCCCAGCTAGGCAAGCCAACTAATGATTTAAACATATATTCATTTCTTTAAAAATTATCCGAGTAATCAAACTCTTCGAAATTTCAAAAATTAAGAAAGATATGAGAAAATAAGATAAATTAAATCCCAAGTAAAATAATTAAATCCAAAATTCTACTAGTGTGTACTAAGACCTGGTGTCACAAGTGTATGAGCATCTAATAGATCATACAAAATTCTAAATACTGTCTGAAATAAAATAGACAGAATACAAATACAAGAAGAGGCACTAGTTGCTGCAGAACGGCTCAGAAAGGCAGTTCACCACTAAAACTCTGGATAACGTGGGTGCGCGCCGATAGGTCCTCCGATAGTACCTGTCTCAGGTCCTGCACAAAAAATGCAGCAAGTGTAGCATGAATACGTAAAGAACATGTACCCAGTAAGTATCAAGCCTAATTTCGAAGAAGTAGTGATGAGAGGTCGACTTTGACACTCACTATGGGTCAATAATATTTCAATAGAATATATTGAATTAAACATGATTTTTAGATGAACAAAAATAATTTTCTTAACAAGCAGAAATAATTAATTCCTTACATTTCAATAATTTTCAATTTATCAATTAACTTCACAAACATCAATTAAAATATCAAGGTATCGTGTAATTATTATTATTAGGCACGATTTCTGCCGAGGTCGTACGACTCGATCCAGAGTGTCGTGTACACTGCCGAGAGACGTGCGGCACGATCCATAGATGCATCTATACTGCCGAGGCATTCGGCCCGCTCCACAAGAAATGAGGACATTTTCTTATGAACCTCCGGAATGAGAAGTTATTATAATATTAACACGTAGGATGTTCAATCTCTATTAACAATTCAATACTTTACACAAAAATCGAGTATACGAAGTTTCGATCTTTTACTATTTTCTCAAATAATTTACAATATAATTCCAGTAATTTAATCAAATAAAAGATGTAATTATCACAAGTAATTCATGATTTGAGTCCTAAACTACCCGAATATAGCATAATTAATAGCTACATACGAACTTTCAAAATGACCGATTAAGTCATTACAGTAGTGAGTAATAAGTTCTCTTTATCCTTAATAAACGGTTTCTGGTTCCAGCTATAAATACAAAATGCGTTTTTATTAAAGAGTGCTTTGCTGGCAATATGAAGTTTTTTCATACGAATATCGAATATCTAAAAGTACAGGTAGGCCTTTGACTAGCTCGGTTGGTCGGCCAATTGAATTGGAAAATAGTGACAACAAGTGTCTTACATAGTGAAGAAGAAAAGTTTCTTTTTCATTCCACTTCGAATTTGGCCTTAAAATGGGCATGATTCATTCATTGGAAAGAGATAAAGAGCATGCTTAAATCATTATAGTATTACTTTCACATATAAATAGTTGTTCGTACAAGTTTGAATTCAAACTATAAATAATTTATATTATCTAAATTTATATTACAATTAATTTGACTCTCATTATCCATAAAAAGTGTCTAGGTTCATCCTTCCGTATCCACTCAAGATGTCCCTATAATCTTATTTATATGAATGAATCATTTTCGGGTTTATTTCTGGAAATATTTTTTTTAAATCTTTTAAAACAGGTTGTTAGTTTTTTCTTTGTTATTTTATTTTTGAATTTTTTTTGTGTAAGACTATTTTTCAAAAAAGTGATTTCATTAGTCTAAAAAATGATAAATATTTTTTTATTCTTAATCAAATGTATTGAGTTATAAGAAATCGTCTTTGTTAGAGAGTATTTTGTTCGGATGTGAAAATTTTTGAGATGAACATAAATTTAATCAGATCTCAAAATGAGTACGAGACACGGAATAAAAAAAAAATAGTTGTTAAAGTCCAAACTGATTATAGAATCTTTGTCTTTCGACATTGCTGACATATATTAGTCCAAAGGAAATCAAATATTTTATTTCCATAAAAATACCCAAAGAATCTCTCCCTCCAATATTTAATCATCCTATAAAAACCACACCAGCTTTTGTTAACCCCCAAACTGAGAAAATAGAGGAAAAAAGAAAGAATTACTCTCTGCAACTCCATTAATGGCGACCATAAGCTATCTTTTTCTCAAAACTCCAACCCCAACTCAACCTTTCCCTAAAACTCACAAAACCCATTTCTCTACACCTCTCAATCTTCCTCTCTCATCCCGCAAACTCGGGCCTGGACAACAAGTCCGGGCCCGAATTCGCTGCGAGTTGATAGAACCCGATGGCGGCAAACTTGTGAATCTCGTCGTCGAGGAATCACAAAAAGCCCAAATAGCTAAACGGGCTTTATCGTTGGCCCAAATCAAGCTCTCAAAAATTGATATTCAGTGGGTTCATGTGTTAAGTGAAGGTTGGGCCAGCCCATTAAAAGGATTTATGAGAGAATCCGAGTTCCTCCAAACTCTTCATTTTAATTCGACCCGACTTGAAAACGGGTCGGTTGTTAACATGTCGGTTCCAATTGTACTTGCAATTGATGATTTTCAAAAGGATCAAATTGGTGGGTCCAGTAGTGTGGCCCTTGTTGATGACAAAAATAACACCATTGCCATTTTAAATGAGTAAGTGAATTTTTCTGTGTTATCGAAATCATTAATTTAATTTTTTACACCATTTTATTTCAATTTCTGTACAACTTTTGGTCCCGTTAGTTACCAGTAATTATGATTTTAGTCCTTGTGATATTTTGCTAAGCATTTTTAACTTTGAATTAATTAAAATGTACTCCTACTGCCGTGGAATTTTGAGAGTCAAACTGAGTTATATGTTTGACCGTAAATTTTTCATATGTCTTTTAATTATTTTGAGTTATTAATTATTGTGATTTATATTATAGTTTCCAAATATATAAAAAAAATTCAAAAAACTTAAATATTCTAAGTCCAAATACATGTCAAAATTTTAAAGTTTAAACCTCGAAAAGGGACAAGTCCCGAAATATGTGATATTTAGATTATCTAACAAATTTAACATAACATATGGTCTTTGGATTCCCAGATATGTGGCAAAATTTCATTTTAAGTTTGTTTAAAAACGAATGATAACATTCTAAATTTAAAAATAATTTAGTTTAAACTTGATATTTTACCTTTAATGAGAATTTTTTTTTATAATCACACTAATGTAGAAACATATTTAAGACCACGAGTTTAAAAAGTAATTTTTTTAATTTTTTTTTATTTTTTTTATTTTTTAACTCTGCCTGTTCAGTTTGCCACATAAAGTGAAATGGAGGGAGTAGGTAATTTAATGGTTTTAACTATTAATAATTTCTTAAATTTGTGAAGATTCACAAGAAAAAGGATCAAAAGTGGATATTTCATCTAATTGAAGGTTAGAGTGCTTAACTAGATATCAGAAGCACCAAAATCTGAATTTGTCGATATTTCGCAAATTCCCTTTCAGCATGCATATATCAATGGCACGAGGTCGGCCGTAGCAGACCACTATGGCACGAGGTAGGCCGTGGCATGCCAATATCAATGACACAAGGTTGGCCGTGGCAGGCCACTATGGCACGAGGTCGGTCGTGGCATGCCTATGTCAATGGCACGAGGTCGGCTGTTCACCATCAATAATATAGTCAAATTACTTAAAGAATATTATGCAACTGAATCTTATTTGTAAAATATTTTATGCACTATCTTGTGTGCTTATAGGGGAATATTAAACTACAGTGTCTGAAAATATTTTCTATATATGAATTATTTATCTTGAATCCAATATCAGTAATCGTTTGTTTAGTAGATGTAGCGACTGAAATTGCTCAAATGGAGTAACTTACTCTGTGATTTACTCAATGGATGTTGTTACATTTTGTAATGTATCTTAGATATTGATCAGACTAATATTCTTACTTCATTTGACATTGAGTTTAAATCCTGAATCCGCTGCTGATGTTATGTTTTTCTTACGTCTAATGTCTTTACTTTTATGGTAATTATAGTATCGAAATCTACAAGCATAACAAAGAAGAACGGATAGCAAGAACTTGGGGCACCACTGCCCGGGGACTTCCTTATGCGGAGGAAACTATAACAAATGCTGGAAACTGGCTAATTGGTGGCGATTTGGAAGTTATAGAACCGATCAAGTACAATGATGGTCTTGACAGGTTCCGGCTTTCACCTGCTGAACTTCGTGACGAATTTACAAGGCGTAATGCAGATGCAGTTTTCGCTTTTCAACTGAGAAATCCTGTGCATAATGGCCATGCGTTATTAATGACTGACACACGTCGACGACTTCTTGAAATAGGGTATAAAAATCCAATCCTTTTGCTTCATCCTCTTGGAGGTTTCACAAAGGCAGATGATGTTCCTCTTCATTGGCGAATGAAGCAACATGAGAAGGTTTGTCCTTCTGTTTACCTTCTGTTTTTGGTAGTAAAATAAAGCAATGAAACGCTACGCTACTTGATTCTCTTCCCCCTTCAATCGGCTAAGAAGCTCAACAGTGGCCAGAAGCTTGAATACAAATTCGGCTGAATCCAGTGTATTTGCACTAAAAAATTCATTAAATATGAACACATTTTTAAATTTAGAACGTTACCCAGTTATTAATACTTGAAGTCGTCATTTTAGAATATAGAACCCATAACGCTAAAATCCTGGATCTGGTTGCTTTCTAACTCCTATATGTGACTGGAAACTCTTCTCAGGTACTCGAAGACGGGGTGCTTGATCCAGAGACAACTGTGGTTTCTATATTCCCATCTCCCATGCACTATGCTGGTCCAACCGAGGTGCAATGGCACGCAAAGGCTCGGATCAATGCAGGTGCTAACTTTTATATTGTCGGACGAGATCCAGCAGGTATGGGTCATCCACTGGAGAAGAGAGATTTGTATGACGCCGATCATGGCAAGAAGGTACTCAGTATGGCCCCGGGACTAGAACGGCTAAATATCTTGCCTTTCAGGGTACGACAACAATTACTCGTGGTTATAGTGTAGCGCGTCTTTCCTTTTTATTTTCGAACTCTAATGTGAATACTGAATTTACTTGTAGGTGGCTGCGTATGACAAGACTCAGAATAAAATGGCTTTCTTTGATCCCTCTAGGCCTCAAGATTTTCTCTTCATTTCAGGCACTAAGGTATCTATCTCACCGTTGGCTTTCAGTGTTCTACCCCACTCCAAACCCCGTGCTAGATCAATTATTGTGTTGATCAGGGGGCGGATGCAGCACCGGAATACCGATTCATCTGAATCCAATACTTTCAATTATGCATTAAAATCCAGTAAAATTACAATACAGAGTAACTACGAACGTATAACCTTAAAAATATAATAGGTTCAAACTAAGAACCTTAAAGGTTGAAGCAATAGAGTTTAAATCCTGAATACGCCTCTGGTGCTGCTGTCCGCCAGTCAATATGGCGCAATTAATGTGTTCTTTTTTTCTTTCTTTTCAGATGCGAGCGCTTGCAAAGAACAAGGAGAGTCCTCCAGATGGATTTATGTGCCCAGGTGGTTGGAAGGTTTTGGTGGAATACTATGATAGTTTGGCTTCAGCTGAAAATGGCAGAATTCCTGAAGCAGTGCCTGTTTGAATGTTTAATGTTAGAAAGTGAATTACTCTCTTTATGTGGTGTCTGAACATATGTTCAACATTACTCTTCAAATTACCAATAATTAATAGTGCGACAAGTTATAGGTTATAGGTTGATGAAAAATTGTTTCCATCTTGTAAATTATAGTGCTAAATTTATGCACACATCTGTGTGCACCTATATTATAGTTTCTGCTTTCATTGAAAATGAGTTTCAAGTTTTCTAGTGGAATTGGATATGTAGTATAGAAGTTGGAGGGTTGCTTTTCATTCTTTTGAAAGGGTAAAGCAAACTTAAGCCCATTTATTTTCATTTAATGGAGGTTTGATTATGAATCATTTAGATCTTAGCCTATTTAGCGCATTTGTATTTTCTTTTTCACTTTCGCTATAACTTATTAGCTCTTAATTTATGTGAATCATTTAGAACTTGTACAGAGTTTTGAAATTACTTAGGCATTTAACAACAACAACACAAATTCAGTATAATCACACAAGTGGGGTCTGGGGAGGGTTGTGTGTACGTAGATAGATTGTTTTCCAGTAGACCCTCGGCTTTGGTAAATATAACATTTTACAACTTTTCCAATTGTTACTACTACCGTCAACCATCACAACGTAGAAAAACCAGCCAACCACCTCCACCACTAGTCACATCCATAAATTATCACTACGAACTACCTAAGCAAGTATAGGTCTATGTTTTGGACTTCAAAGTGCAGAAATGGCAAATGCCTGCGCGGATATTGTCATAAGGGATAATCATGTTCCTATTATTGTTGATATCCTAAGGTGGGAAAGAGGAATTTACATTTATCTCTTTTTGCTCTCATTGTAAAACCACCCAATGTATAAGGGGAGCCTTATAGCAACGGTAAAATTGTCTCCGTGTAACTTATAGATTACTGGTTCGAGCAGTTGAATCAATCACTGATACTTGAACTAGGGTAGACTGCCTATATCACACCCTCTTGGGATGCGACCTTTCCCCGAACCCTGCTTGAATACAGGATGCTTCGTGCAGGCTGCCCTTATTAGTGTAAAGCCACCTAACGTAGAAAGGGAGCCTTGGATCAACAGTAAAATTGTCTCCGTGTAACCTATAGATCACAGGTTCAAGCCGTGGAATCAGCCACTGATACTTGCATCAGCATAAGCTGCCTACATCACACCCTCTTGAGGTGCGATGCTACATGCATTGGGCTGTCCTTTTTTTATTGTAAAGCCACCTACTGAAGAGCTAATGTATAAGCATCCCAGGGATCGAAAGGAGCCAATGTTAAACAAATATATGCTCTCAAAAATCTGCATTCAAGCATTGTATCAGATGACTATTCTCTTAGCCATACATTTCAAGGGTAAATAATTGCTCAATGTAAATGCTTATGAGAAGGATACACTAGTACTCAACACATATATCCTTTGGCAAGTCTGCAACATATTCAGTGCCTGACTTAGAGAAAAGAAAGTTATCAGGAACTTACATAAAAAGAAAATGTTTAGGGGATTTATGGGGCTAATCAGTCTTTCGAGGGGGAAAAAATCAGAAATAGATTGATTTACAATTGATAATTAAAAAATAGTCATGATTTCAAAAGTAATCAATTTTTACCGAACAAAAATACCCTTAAAAATTCGAAAAAATTCTAACATAAAATACTGGAATTCGAATTTTTACATTTGAGATTCCAACATAATATGTTCCATATTCCAGCATATTATGTTGTAATTTTTCGTGTTTCAGTTAGGATATTTTTTCCAAATTTTATCTTCACATAAAATAGTAGTTATTTTCAATCACTTTGCAACCGCTGCTTATTTTTTGATAATCAATGCGAAAATTGGCTAGCCCATTCTATTTTCACAAGTGACTATGCTACAAGTTTTGGGAGGCCTCCAGGGCGGAGCTAGGAAACCAAAAAGGGGTTTCTTTTGAATCTCCTTTATTAAAAAATTCTAATATGTATATAAGGTCAAAATTTTCTGGCTTTCTGGTAGTGGCAGAGCCAGAATTTTTACTAAGGGGTGTCAAAATATAAAAAATTAGATACACCGAAAAATCAAGAGGGTCAACGTATAGTAAAAAATACATAAATCAAAAAAATTATCTAGCAATACTATGTAATTTTCCGGTGAAGGGGTATCGATTGACACCCCTTGGTTCAATGTGACTCCGCCACTACTTCCTGACGTGTTTACATTTTTTTAATATTTTGAATCATCGGTAAAATCCTGCCTCCGCCGTTGGTGCAGGAACAACTAGGTTGAGTTATTGGCTATGGTTAACTTGTATTTCCTTTGCTCTGCATCTTTCCTGATTGGATGGTTTGTCAGGAGAACACCTTTTGTGAAGAAACAATACCTTAGCAATCTGAATTGGCAAAATTTGAAGCCAAAGACAGAGTAATAGAATGCAGTTTAATTTGATTTTCAGTTTGTATTTTCTACTTGATCTGTAGTTCTATTCCCTTTGCTTATGCATGTTACTAGTTTGTACCTTGGTTTAGTTGAGAAAATAAACCAAGACTTTTGCTACATTATTCTTTGTATATCACAAGAATATGATATTTTATATTTGTCTCTTACCGCCAAAGGATGTGCTTCAACGGATGGGGCTATTTTTCCCTTAATCATGAGTTTCGGGTTCGAGTCTTGGTATGAAAAAAATCTTTGGTAGGGAGCGTTTCCCCCGAATGAGGCCCTTCGCGACGTGAATCCGAATATAGTCGGGCATCAATGCGGGTACCAGACATCGGGTGGGAAACATACAAAAAATATTATTGTCTCTTTTATAATTCTCGCATTTACTTTATGATTTTTGTTCGCTTTCGCTTTTTCTGTGCCCCTTTTTCAATTACTATTATCAATTAAATACTTCTTAGTTAATTATAATTAATTCAAAAAATTAGATTTCACTTGACTCGTTTCGGCAGATGAAATGTTCAACATGAATTATTTCTTTGTTCTGTTCTTTTCTTTTTCAGGAGTGGGAAGCAAGGTATTTTGTAGTCAAAAGACACACACACCAGTCAAGTATGGAAAACTTTTCAAATGAGCCAAAAACGTACATGAGATTTTTCGTGTCCGATCATACTAACTTGACTATTTTGGATTAGCGCTTAACAAGACTTATCTAAGCTGAAAGAACTCCTACCAAATAAATAATTTATTCCTAGGGTTCGAATTCGAAATCTCTGGCTAAGACTAAATGAAAAAGCCTACATGAATTTTTTTGTGTGTAACTTGACTAATTCAAATTCTGAGTACGCAACGCCGATTAGAGAAGGAAGCACTCCCTGGGCGGCCCATCGGTGTTTGGGGCCTAAAACCAAATTTCAATGATGGCCCCTAAGTTTTTCGGTATTAAAAAACTCATTTAGTAAAATTTTATTTAAAGTTTATTTTTCTAGTTTTTTGAGATGTAAAATTATTTATAATTTATTTATAATCGATTTCTTGACTAGGATTATATATGTTTTCACTTTCTAGGATTATTATTCAATTCTTTTAGGATTTCCTGATTTTCTAAAAAATCTGTGACTCACCAATTTCTTCTTCTTTTTCTTGGATTCCATTGTCGTCTAACTCAACTATATTAGTGATTTGTTCATCTACCACAAAATTTTTCCTAATTTTTTATTTAAAATTTTTATTGTTCGCTAAAAATTTGTCAAGCGCTCCTTTTTGGGATTGTATTAAAGTTCTAATTCTTCCATTTTTTGGCATTTTTAATACGCGGATTCATATTTTCTTGTTGACATATTAAAATTCATAATAAATAAATAAAAGGATGATACATATACTTACAAACAAAAGATATCAAAAAATAACAAATTATAGATGCAAAGTAATAAGAAAAGTACGGAACAATTGAACCTGGTTTAACAAACAGTTATAGATAACTTGATATTACTTTTGTTGCTTCAATATTTTTGGTGCAATGCCGGGAAAGCTTGACAAAAAAGGGTTGCAATTGCCATTTTGCTATCTTACTTGACGGAATGTTTTATGAGATAGTGGACTTGTAAAGAAAAACAAAGTAATCAACTAATATGAGTCTCATGATAATGATGATAGTGTATAAAGAAGTACATATTCACACCTAAAGTTTAGGGCTGAATCCCAAAAGTAACTATTCATATTACCATATTATCTCTTATTTCTTTTTTCATGAAAAATACATTGTTTTTTGATATATTAGTAATTTTCTTTTAAAAATTATCATATGCAACTATTTAATATTAGAAAATTTTGGGCCCCCATAGATATAGGGCCTCAAGCGGTTGCTTGAGTTGCCTTACCATCGGGCTGCCCCTGAGCACTCCTATAAAAAATATCATTTATAAAATTCGAACTCGAGACGTCTGATTAAGAATGAAGAAATCGCATTCATTCCACCATTTCCTCGAGGAGTAGGAAAGGAAGGTATTTAAATTTTATAGTCAAGAGACATACCCATACAAGCATACACCACTCAAACATGAAAAACTTGTAAAAATAGCACGGGCTAGCCAGTTTTTGGAATGATAATTGGAAAATAGCCAGCGTTTGCAAAATTATTGAAAAATAGCCACTATTTTGCTGCAACACGGAAAGTTCCAGCATAATATATTGGAGATTGGAGCACCTGTGTATGAACTTCCAGCATATTATGTTGGGCCAGTATATTATGCTGGAACTCCAGTATATTATGCTGGAAGTTCACATGTAAAAAATTCGAACTCCAGTATATTATGCTGGAATATTTTTCGGATTTTGAACAGTGTTTTCGTTCAGATTTATCTTTACATGAAAAGTGACTAAATTTCGATTATTTTTGAAACTGTAACTATTTTTCAATTACCATTTGTAAATCTGGCTATTTTTGAATTTCACTTTTCAGACGTACCAAAAAGCCTATTTGAAACTTTTTTTTTGTAATCATTTGATATTGGAAACTACTAACTCAACTAATTCAGATTAGTGTTTCGCAAAACCTATTTAAAAGAGAAGTGCTCCTATCGGAGATTTTTTTATTTCTAGTATTCGAGCACGGGATTTATAATTAAGGGCGAAGAAATTATATTCATCACATCACACCTTCAACGAGTGAGAAGAAAAGTATTTAAATTTTGTAGTCAAAAGACATACGTGGAGTTGTTGAAGCATGAAAGAAGTAAACCTCAAGCAAGAAGTAAAAGACTCGACTCATTGCTCATTAGCTTACCCCGTAAGAGAAGATTATAATATGTTTGTAAAATCAATTTATTTTATTAAAATTTACACCAGATGAATCTTTTTAGAACCATTGCTTATATTTTGACCTCCTTAAAATTTATTTAATAAAATAATTTCGCTGCAAGGATTTTCTCATATGAAAAATACTAACGGTTGTCATTTTTTATGGCAAATTCTAGTAATCACCGTATGATAATTTCTGACGGCTGTCATGTTTTTGTAATTTCTGGTGATTACTATATACAAGTTTCTGACGGCTGTCATGTTTTGTGGCAAATCCTAATAATCACTATATGAAAAATTCTGGTAATTGTCATATTTTCGTAGCAAATCCTAACTATCTTCATATCAAAAACTATGACGATTGCTAGTAGACTAGTTAACGTGCCTTAGTGAAATTAGTTGACGACTAATTGATAGTTATATGAAATAAAATAAGTCATAACCTACTCAAAGAAAGTGGGTTTGCTAACTCTACTTTTTTATTTATTTATAAATTATATGTTAGTATTATAGTTTTGTCGTATGTAATATTGTCATAGAATACACTATAAGTTCTGTAATAAACATAACATATTTGATTTTTTTTTAATTTCTTAATTTTAAAACAAATATTTTTTCATCCTTACTTGTACTTCTCCATATTAACAATAAAGTACACACGAGTATTATGTCTGTGTAATTTTAAAAAATTAACTCAAAAAGGTATAAAGGAAAGAACTTATGGTTATAAGTTATTGACTTGTTCTGAGAAAAACTAAGGTCAAAAATTTAAATTAATTAAACACAATGCCACCAAAATTCAGGGATGTGAAGAAGTAAATGCTTTTAATTGGTTTGACATGTGACACTTCTTAGTAGAAGGATGTGGCTTGACTTATATAAACCAATACAAAGTCTTTCTCTTTTCTTTTCCTTCAAATGACAAGTCTATTATTGCTATTACTAATATTATTATTGTTGCTAAAATTAAGTCTATTATAATATATTTTTAGTCTATCTGATATCCATTTTGGGATACGATAAATTCAAATTTTGTCGGAAAAGTCTCACTTAGAGGGTAAAAAATTACCTACCAAAGATAATTTCATGCTCAAGGATTGAATCTATAATATCTGATTAACGATATATGAGTATTTACTACTCTACCACAATAGCGATTATTATAATATTATTATTGGTGCTATTGTTTTCATTGTTTATATTCTTTCCATCTTGAAGATACTTTTTTATGCAACTATTGGAAGGGTCAAATTAATTATTCGAGTTGTATGGCTACACAAATTAATTTAATTAGTTCCTATAGCAAGATTTATAAATCAAAAAATCACACATGAAAAAGGGTTAAAGTAAAACATAAAACGTTAAAAAGAAAAGTAAGTTCCTTTTTAACTCTTAAGTTATAATGTGCAAATTAAATAAGAAACAAAACAAATTATTTATAGACTATTATTTGTAAGATGAAAGTAGGAGGAGTTCCATTGATAATCAGTTGACCAAGTAATACCGATAACAAACTTGGCTGAATATATTATACACTTTCATTCTTAATTTATGTGACACTATTTTCTATTAATATATCACGCTTTATAATTAAAAATAATTTAACTTTAAATTTCTTATTTTACTTTCAGTGAGAAACTTTTATTACGAAACAAGTGTTATAGCGTGTTTTAGACCACAAATTTTAAAAAAAATTCTTTCTTTTTTAAATTTCGAGCTAAATCGAACTATGTCACATAAATTAAAACAAATAGAGTACTTATTTTTATATATTATAAAAACTAAAATAAGAGGTCATTTGATCATAAGCAGAGTCAGAATTTGAAGCTTACAAGTTTAGATTCTAGTCCTATTAAATTACTAGATTCTAAATTATTGATTTGTACATATTCAATAAATTTTCTTAAGACAAATATATGATATGAAGTTTTGAACCAAAGCTATTACGTTCGATCAAACTCGTAACCTAAACTCCAGCTCCACCACTGCATTTGATTACAATTTTCAGAGTCTAATAGTTAATCAAATAATCCTACAATTAATTCCTTGGTTGTAACACTGACATAGATAACAGCTAATACAATAATACAAATAATAAAATAACACTAATTAAGTAAAAAAAAAAACATTTTTTATCATCAAGCTTCTATCCAACGGTCATCATTTTAACAAAATCATCAAAGTTGACTTGACCATCCCCATCCAAATCTGCTTCTTTAATCATCTGCTCTGCCTCTTCATCTGTTAGTTTTTCCCCTAGGTTAATCATCACGTGCCTCAGCTGCGCAGATTCATAAACATATTTTAACGGATTTAAATTATATATACTAACAATTTAAAGAATATTTTTATAATTTTAACATAAGATTGTATGTTACTTTATTAGTTACTACTATTTTTATTAGGTTATCAGTTAATGTTCATCAAATAATTTAGCTGTAATTATCTTATAAGTGACTTAATTATATAAATATTTTTTAATCATAGTGTATAAAAAACTTCTTAGATAATTACTCACTCCGTCCAAAATTAGTTGTCATGTTTTACTTCTCGAGTGTCAAAATATGTGAATTTTGACTAATAATTTTAAAAATATTTTCTATCATATCATATAATTTTTGAATATTTAAATCTTAGTTTTAAAATATTGAGTTAATCTATATTAATTTAGTTTTAAATATAGCCAAATTGATTCTCGACGAGCGAAATATGACAACTAATTTGAGACGGAAGAAATAATAAATAATAAAAAGTCAAAAGGAGCAAGTGCATTGTTCAGTGTGAACTGTGGAAAAATTCATTGTACGACAGATTGGTTTTAAAGAGATAAGCTAATAAATATCTAGGATTTGAAACAGAACAACTGTAAACATAAGAATATTTTATGATAATGATAGATAAAATTAACATGTGAACTCCTCACCTTCTCCTTATGTAGTTTAACTCCTTTGCACTAACCCTTAGCTATTATTTTATGATAAGAAAGATTGTTTTAATTATTTGCTCTGTTTCTATTTAGATGATACACTTTTTTTATTAATTCGTTAAAAAAATAATAAATTTTTATAATTGAAAATAATTCAACTTTAAACTCTTCATTTTACTCATTTTACCCTTAATGAGAAGTTTTAATAACCACATAAATGTCATGACCCACAAAATATTTATCCCTTAAGCTTTTAAGACCACAAATTTCAAAAATCTTCTTTTTTTTCTTAAACTTCGTACCGAGTCAAACTATCTCATCTAAATTAAAACGGAAGTAATAATATTTAGTGACAATTTGTTATTCGTAAATATTCCTTTTGATTAAAAAACATTTTTATCTTTTTGACTGATCTTCAAGAACAATATGAGTACATACCGTACATGATTGACTACGAAAAAAGAAGAAGATTATAAGAGTACTTGAAAAAAGTTATATAATTTTTTTTAAAAGCATAAATTAAAGGTTAATTTTTCAAAATCAACATAATAACAACAATAAAAACACGAAATTCAAAAAAATACAGACTCACATCGTTAGCTGAAATGTAACCATTTTGATCTTTGTCAAACACCTTAAAAGCTTCTTTTAGTTCCTCCTCTGCATCAGTCTCCTGCATAGGAAAAACAAAAAATAACAATATTATACATATATATAAGAAAATAATTTTTTTCAATTTAAGGAGAGTGTTGGAGCAACGGTAAAGTTATTTTTGTGTAACCTATAAGTTACTGGTTCGAGCCGCGTAGGCTGTGTGTATCACACCCCTGCGGCCATTTTTCGAACCTTGCGTAAGCGCGAGATACTTTGTGTACCGGAATGCCCACTTAACAACAGTAAGTTGATATGGTTAAGTATAAATACCCAATGCGATTAACTTTTTACCTTCATTTTTTGTGTGATGAGGTTGAGGAATTCAGTAAATTCAATGATTCCATTCTCATCAGCATCAACTTCACTAATCATACGATACAGCTCTTCCTCTGTTGGATTTTGATCCAATGATCTAATCACAGTCGCCAATTCTTCAATTGTAATGCAGCCTGTACATAAAATGCATCTTAAAAACACATTGTCAAAGTGTTACTAAAAAAAACAATGAAATCCAGTTCTTGGTTAGACCATATATATGAATGTCATGTTTGAGATTTTTAAAAGAAAGAAACACAGTATATAATTAAAACGGCCAGCTCGATGCACGAAGCATTTCGTATTCAACCAGAATACGGGAAGTACCGCACCTCAAGAAGATGTGATGTATGCAACATACCGTGAAACACAGTATAAATGAAAGAAAATAAATGAAAAGCAAATCATTCAAGAAAAAGAAGACTACTAACCATCTCCATCTTTGTCAAATAGTGCTTCTTCACATTCAATAAGTTGATCTGCTTTTAATATATCTGCCATTATATTAATTCTTGAGCTTTTGTTTTTGTGTGTGTGTCTGAGAGAGAGAGAGAGATGGGCATAGGTGTATAATGGCTGGGCTTTAAATAAAGGAAATAGCATTGTCCCTAGAGGGCTTAGTAAACATTCAATTTCATTAAAATTAATATTACAAGTTAGAAAAAAAGAGGAGCAAATAAGGGGTTTGACCTAAGAAGGGAGTATTTGATTTAGAACATAATTAACTAAGAAGAATTGAGCTTCTTTTTTTTCATCTGGTTTTCGGCAGCATTTGAGCTCCGATTAATTTAGATTTGCACTGCTGCGTAACGCCCATTAAACGGAAAATTTAAGATTTTTAGATTTTGAATTTTAGGATGGACTTCACCGATTTTATTTTAAAGGGAAAGAGGAAGTCCGGACGTCAACTTCTTTGATGACGACCAAGAGGAGGAAGATATTTCCCAATAGTGGTCCTCCTTTAGTCAAAATTATAGACCAGGTATTTATTTCTCTCCTTCAGGTTCTACTGCACCCTTCGGTCAAGTAAACCAAGCTCATTATTTTATTTTAATTTTTTTCATTCTCAAATCTAAGATCCGAAACCTCTATAGTTATGGGTGGATGAATCTTATCCATCCTATCACAACACTTTGTGATAGAAAGAATTGAGTTAACCTTCTAATTTTCTTTTGATGACAAGTAAAAATTATCTCCTTTGATAATTTTAATAGAAGAAAATAATGTCTACAGATTTCCCTCTTTTAATATAAGATGAGACTTAAATGAGACCACTTAACTATTTCAAGTAGTAATGCTTAAAATAAACAAACATAAATTATAGAACAAAAAACTAAAATATTAGAAGCAAAAATTGGCCGAAAAATAATAGCATAAGAGGAAATAAGTAGTGAACTTTATTTAGCGAATGATTATGGAAGAAGAAAAAAGAACTTGAAAAAAAAACTGAAAGGGGAAGATCAAAGTATAATAGAAGAAAGGATGAGATTAATAATTTGTTTTAAAACGTAGTTTTGATATTAACATATGATTTTTTTATTCGAAAAATTATTAGTTTTGGCTTCTGAAAATGTTTTTCCCAAGGCCTTTCCAAATAAAGAGCTTTTATTCAAAAAACAAATTACTTAAATAAAAACAGTCAATTTGTGTTTAAGACCAGAATTAAGAGTAGTCGTTGGTCATGACTCCGTCACGAAAGCCATGTCAACCTTGACCAAAAACCATCCAAGATTCTATCCTCAAAAGTCTCGGATTCGAACCTTAGATATGAAAAAATTTCTAATAAGAACGTTTTTAGTTTTATGAGCCCTAGGTCACGTACGGGTTCAAGTCGCGAAAACTGTCACACCTCTTTTTTCCAATGATATATGTGTTATGAATTGTTACGGGTTAAAGAGTTTTTTCAATTAAAGTGACAAATTTGAGTAGAGATTATTTTATTTAAAGTGTCGCCATTTGGAATTGATTTTTTGGGTGTTCCAAGTCACCATTTATTTGAATCCCCAGTCAAAGGAAGGTTTGACTCTATTATTATTGGTTTGCGAAAAAAAGTCCGGGTAAAGAATTCTGTTGACCGGGGAGAAGGTGTAAGGCATTCCCCGTATCTCGTGGTTCTAGCACGGTCGTTTTATTGACTACATTGGGCATATATTATTTTTGGATAACATGTGTTTTATTGGTTCTCATGTTTTACCTATATCCGCTTTTATTGCTTGATTAGATCTATAAAAATTATCTTGAAATAAGTCACGCGTACGTGTACTCATTTTTTGTTTGGCGTCAAGAATCATGTCACGCGTACATGTACACAATCAATAACACATTTATTATTTTTTGAAGTTGATTGGTCAAGTCATGTGAACGTGCACTTGTATTATTTTCCTAAACTAATTTGAAATTATTGTAAGACCAAGAGTTTATGGATAGAAAATTATTTGGAAGTCGGAAAATATATTAGTTATTTAAAGTATTGAAAAGTCATCCAAACTTAGAAATATTTACAACTTACTACTCCATCTTTGAAATTAGGAGACATTTATCCATTATAGAAGAATGAGCTAATTATTAGTCTAGTGACAAAATTATTGGGCCTGACAGATTTATACTCAATCAAACTCATGTCTAATTCTTTCTTTCATATTAAATGTGGTAACTCATTCGTGATTCACGTACTTGAACTCCAACGCATGGCCCATTAATATGGCAAGATCTTCATTCTTAATTCTAAATAGCAAATCTCATTAAGATGAAATCCTATTCAAATAATCTATTGACAAATTGCACGAAACATGTAAAAAGAAACTACAACATGATAATGTGTATAAATAAAATAACACAAAAAATTATCACATGAACCTCTATAAGAACATCACACAAAATAATGAAATAATTAACAAATGGATAATAAGCAATGAACCTTTAAGTAAAAAATTTCCTTCAGAACTTGATTAATGAAAAAACAATTCTGAGCCGAGCAAGTACACCAAATCAAGGGCAAATCGGCAGATGAGCAAAAAATCTAGCGACAAACCTTCTCAAATTCGAGCTCGGACCGAAACTCGACTGTACCTCGTGAGACTGCTGGTTTTTGGCGTGAGAGAGGTGACTATCAATGAAGCTTCACAAGGTATTTTTAGGCTTGAATTTGAGGTATTTTTAGGTCTTAAACACGGTGATGAATTGCTTGAATTTTCGAAAGAAATAATGAAACAAATAGAAATTCACTTAGCGCAGAAAAAGATTTTTTTCCCTCTCAATTCTCTCCTCTATTTTTCCTTCCTTCTCCTCTTTTCTCCTCACATTTCTCTTCTATTTATAGGGGAAACAATTCGGAATTGTTTCAGATTTATTTTTATTATTTTATTATTTTTTAATTAAAAAGAATTTCCACTTCCTATTTTTCTTCTTTTTTAAAAAGAATAATTCCCCACTTTCCTTTACTTTAATTTTTTAATTTCCTACTTTTTTTACTTTACTTTTTTTTATTTTCCACTTATTTTACTTTTTTTTTTAATTTTCACTTATTTTACTTTTTTTTTTAATTTTCCACTTTCTTTTACTTTTTTTTTTAAAAAAGAAATCAGCTACCTTTACTTTTATTTTTTAATTTCATCTTTCTTTTACTTTACATTTTTTTAAATTTCCACATTCTTTTACTTTTATTATTTTAATTTTCCACTTTCTTTTACTTTTTTTAAAAAATAATTTCCACCTACCTTTACTTTTACTTTTTTTATTCTATACTTTTAATTTTCCTATTATTTTATTCCCATTCGAAAATTTTAAAAAAATATTTAATTTTTTCGTTTTTTTTAAAATTTATTTTATTTAAAAATAAAGATAAAAAATAAAAATAATACTAATAGTAATAATTTGACCTTTTAAAATTATTTTTAGTTCTTACCCTAGGGCTGGCAAGTGGGCCGGTCCCGGGCCTAAACGGGCCAAGTGGGCCGGTCCAAACAGTCCCGGTCTGCGAGCTAAACGGGCTAAGTGGGCCCAATATATTTTTTTAAAAAATAAATTAAATAGATATTAAAGACAAAAGGATGTTAAAAAAAATATCTAAGACAATGCTTTGTTAATTTTATTATAGAATTGAGACTTAAATTTTAATATTCAATATTTAATATCGAATATATATAGTATATAAGATGTATATATAATATATCGATATAAGATGTATATATAGTATATCGATATAAG